AACACTCTACTGTGACTCTACTGTTATAACCCAGTTGATTTACGTACATCGGACTCGTATAAACTCTGATCTGCAGCCGTGTGATTAAAGTTCAGTCTGTGTTTGTTTCTGTTTGATTCAACAGGACTGAGTGAAATGTGAGGAGCAACTTTCAGCCACCAGAGGGAGACAAACTCCACCAGCTCACAAGGTAAATCTGGATGACATTCTAGACTACAAAGTGTCTCTCCTTCATGAAATGACTCTACACTCTAAACAAATGTTCCTCACTTTGCAAAAATGTCCAGACAGTCCCGTGTGAGAGAGGCAGAAAGTCCTGGTCTTGTTGAAACTGTAATACAATCCAGTGGAATCCAAACTTGTGACCATGAAGTGATGATCACAAGTCTTCAAATATAATTCTGTGTGTGAGTTTAAATGAAACCCTGTCGGATTGTGAGGATCTCTCTATTCATACAATCTTCCTTATTCCTAAAAAACAATCACCTCACAATCCTCCTCGAGCCTGCAGCTTCTTAATGAACTTATATTTCTACTCCACAATCACAATATGGATGACATAATTTATTATGTCACATCTCAACCCCTGAGCTTTGAACTTTGACCGTCTGTCACACCCAGTAAAACACACACACTTGCACACACACAAACTGCTCGACATTAACAAAACACACGTGAAGACGTGAACATTAATAAAACCACGATGTGTGGAGCTACATTTAGTGCGCTTTTAAATTATAGTATTAAAATAAAAATGTGTCTGATTTAACACAGTACGAACTAGTCATACTTAGATAAGTCAATGTAGGATATTATTATTTAAAGTTATAGTTGCTGCTGTGTCATTCAGACGTCACACTGAGCCAGAAACAAAATACAACCTCCTTCATCAGTCTGTGAAGCAGCAGACGGTCTGAGTCGACTCTCTGAGAATCTGAAATATTCTCTGACGTGGTCAAGATTTTACTCACTCGCTTTGTTTTTAGAGACACGCGTCACTTCGACCTCCTTACAGAGACAGAAGACGTTATGACCGAGTCCCCGAGAGCAATGAAAGACACAACTTTTATCTGTTATTAAAACATGCAGAGCTCAACAGACTGGGCAACATTTATGTTTTTGACTAAACATTGTTGGTGTTTGCTGTGAGTGTTTAATGTAGTGGTGCAATGTAACCAAGTACATTCACTGAAGTACTTTACTTAAGGTGTACAAGTACCTTCAACAATACTGTATTTGTTTGAGGTACTTGTACTTTTACTATAAAGGGAAATACTGTCCTTTTGACAGAAAATGACCCTACTTCTCAAATGATTTATTTCCTTAAATAGACCATAAAGTCAGGTATGCTTCAGGGCGGGGCTACCTTGTGTGATTGACAGGTCTCTACCTCGGTGTGGGAGTTGTCTGTGTTTTTCCTCTCACAACTTTAACAGTGTGTTTTCCACTCATGGAAGTTAATTGTAACATTTTGGTCGCCTAAAAACGTTTAATTCAGCGTTCGGTTAGCTCCACCCTCTCGTTACACTTCTGGTTGCGAAAAACCAAGATGGCGACGGCCACGATGCCGTACTAAAGGCCTTAAAATGTTCTCAAACGACGGGTGACACCACTGTGACTACGTCCACTTCTTATATAGAGTCTTTGTAAAAATCCCAGAACTGTGAGGATGATGAGGGTGTTGTCCCTCATCGTTCACACAGGATGAACAATAGGAATCTTTACTACGACTAGTTTAACTGTGTTGTGTGAAGCTCCTCTCAGATATTTTCTGGCCTCGTCGAGCTGAGGCAGCAGGAGTTAAAGTATACGCAGGACACGACAGACTGCTCGTACTTCACATAGGTCCAGGAATGCCAAATGTCTGAATGACATTTAAGTGGACACGGTCACATTTTTCACATTTCGACTGAGGTGAAGGAACGCAGTAATGTTGAGCGTTCGGCTCATTCGTGCGACATGTGACGGAAAAAAAGTCAAATGACACAAATTGATCTGTTATTTAAAGCTGATCAGAATTCTTTAAAATAAACTTGGGGATGTGGTGGAGAATTATTCCCGTCCTCTGCCCCCCAAAACACCCTTTTGATGATTCATTAAAGTGTTTAATTCAAAATGGTGACGTTACATTATTTGTAAATTAGGTGAAGTGACTCCGTGAAGAACCAATAATGAGCTGTGTTTTTTTTTTACTTTTAAAATACCAACAAGACTAAACAACCAGTCCTCCAAATTAACAACAGTGTCACGGCAGTTCATGAAATAGTCAAAAATCAATTAGTTTCATGTACAAAAACACGAATTGTCTGTTTTTTTCGTGTTGCTCAGACAAAATGAAGTTCAAATTTTTAAAAAGTTAGCTTTAGGCAACAAAACCACTATTTACCCACCTGCCATGATACCGGGCTGATATTAAGGTTCTGATCTGACTTTATGTAAAACGAGTAATTTGTTTTTATATACATAAACTGTATATGTATCATGTAAAATACCAGATGTTGTCTGTGTGCCTCTAACCACCAGCTGTGCTCCGTCCATTAACCTGCTAACCAGCTTCCACATGGCTCCTGTTAAAACACACACACACACACACACACAGTTGATTTTAGGTTTTAATTCTGGACAGAGTTGTGTTTGTTGTGCGCTCGGTAGCTCTTCTGGTAGAGTGGGTTAGCCCCAGGTCCTTACTCCAGCGGCCCGTGTTCAAATCCTACTCGTGGCCCTTAACTCTCCTCCTTTCTTCACTGTCACGATCCATTCAAGGCAAAAAAGCCCCAAAAATAAATCTTAAAAGAATATGTGTGTTTAAAAATCTGCCGGTGAAAATGTACTGAGGCTTTTCTAGTTTGATGGACTCACAACACAAACACACTGTAGCGTGACTTCAAAGAGGGACCAATTAAGGCTCACTTCCTGTCAGTTTGCACGGCCCCTCTGGTTCCAGTCCAGCTCTGGTCCTCGTCCAGCTCTGGTCCTCGTCCAGCTCTGGTCCTCGTCCAGTGGACCCACATGAACCTGATTAGCAGCTGATCAGAGCGGCAGCAGGGGAGCATGTGAGGTGTGTAACCGGTCATGAGACTCGACGCAGAGTTTCAATTACTGTAAAACAGAACGGGCCGGCGAGCTGCTGCTCATTAAGCCGCCACATCTCGGCTCCGATTGGCTGAATCAAGAGTTTGAGTCGGGGGCTGGCGGTCGTTGATCGGTTCAGGTCGACAAATTTAACTTAACTGATGCAAACGTGCTACACGTTGATTTCTTTTAAACCTCATTTGAAACTACAAGTACACTTTGAATCGCTGACCTGCTAGCTGATAGGCAGCTATTGATACTTGGCACATTCAACCACACGTGTTGAGTTGAATCCTTTAAAATGAAGTTACAAGATAAACATGAATGGCGGATTCTTCAAGCAAACTAATAAAGTAAAAACAAGCTAGCGAGCTGATAGCCTCAGTGATAACCTGCTGTGTGCGTGCAGGTTGTAAAGGTTGTTAATGTACACCTGAACAGTCACATTATCACCTGCTGGTGAAATCTATAGGAGACCTTGAGGTTGATCTGTTGACGGTGTGGCTTTGGGAGAATTATTGATCAGTGTACTAGTTTTTCACTTATCAACTATTGACCCCAACAGGACTCACTGCAGGTTCCAGGAAAACAGTGAAGACACCAAGACGTTATTGGTCGCAGTCAAGAAATAAACCTAAAATGCTGCGTAAAACTTCAGTTTTTGTACAGGTTTAAACAAACTAGTGCAAACTGTTCAACACAGCCGATTCAGAACGGGCCGCTTGCTTGGCCCGTGGTGTGGTTCTTGAGGACCTCTGTGTTTATTACCCGTCAGGTGTGATGTAAATCGCATGAACGGTTCTCGAAGGTTTGCAAAGGACACGTCTGTGTGTCCTTTGCACCCGGATATTTATAGGCAATGTAACAAGTTAATTAATGATTTTCAGAGGTGGAGATATGATGGATTTCGTCTGTTGGACCTCAGAGTTCCATTGATAGAAAGTTACTCTAAAAGGTGCAGTCATGCATTCAGACTTTTACTTATAACTTTACTAACAAAGTACCAAAAGTAAAAGTACTCGTTATGCAGACTGACAGAATCAGAATCATATATATTATTACTCCATTATAACAATTGATCAGTGGCGGGCCGTCAGGGCCTGCAAGGCCTTCTCTGCTGGCCTAAACAGAATCACAAAGTCTATTTTATAATTTAATAATTTTTCTTAAATACACTACATGTATTATAATTTATGAACACATTAATGTATCAATTAAATTGATACATTAATGTGTTCATGGTTCATTTGAATTACTTCATAGTTTGTGGGTTCACTACTGAGGATCAAAAAAGTCTTATCCACAATAATACCTCAGAAGTTATTTGTTGATTTTATTTTTGAATTATTAAACACAATCTGTAAAGTTATAAACGTTGTAAAATAAAAATAAAAATTTTAAATGTGACGGAGTAAATGTAGAAAATAGAAAAAAACGTAAAGTGCAACAAGTTCATATTGTGTCAGTAAATATTTGTTTTTTTCTTCTCCAAACTATCCATTCATATATGTACAGTTAACCTCTGACTGTGTGTGTGTGTGTGTGTGTGTGTGTCTGTGTGTTGGGCATCAAATCAGAGTGAAAACTGAAGTAAAGTCACGTTACTGTCAGTGGGGGCGTGATGCAAGACCAGACTTACACAATTAAAAAGAAAAAAAAATCACACACATGTTTCTACAACGCAGAGTCTCCATTGGCTGCAGCTGATGAATGGTTGAGTTGTCGACCAACCTGGAGAATGTGACCGGTGAATATGTAAGCTGATCGTGTTGTCAGCTGGCCGCACTCTGACTGTCTGTCCCACCATCACACACACTTACACACACAATCACACACACAGTTAGTGACGGAAACACACACACACACACACACATCGGTCTGCTCTGTATTCATCATCATAATCATCGGTTGTCTGTCATTCGTCCATCATGCACAGCAAAGAACAAATCAGGTAAGAAAGCTTCTTTATGACATCTTATTACCAATGTATGCTTTATTGTTTTATTGTTGTTTCATTATAGTGTATCAACGTACTCTTCCTCTCATTATAATAAAAGACCAGTGTTTCCTAAAGCTTTTGGCCTATGACCCGTCGTCACTGCGTATGTGAACAGTTCAACCAAAACATTATTTTTTTTCATAAAAGGTACTATTATTCAGTTATTCACAAGAAAAAATGAAAAAAAAATCCTTATAATGTTTTCTTTCTGCTTTCTCATCCTGTTAATCAGTTTATGACCCCTCAGATTAATCTCAGAGCTTCTTGTTGTTGTTAATAACCTGCAGTTTACCGTGTTATTTCATTGTATGAACCAGATATCAATAAAATACTTGGTGGTTCCTACTGGTCCTTAAGAGGAACAATATTCTACCAAAACGTTGGATTAAAGTAAGAAAACAAAAAGGAGCTTTCGCAAAATCACAGTATTTAGAAAAATACTTAAGAGTATAATTTATTTTTATTTTCCTCTAAAATGCCAAATTGTTTCTCCCTTGTTCCCTATAGTCTTGTTTTCTTCCTCTGTGCCTACATTTACGTACCGGTGGGAACTGAAAAGTATTTTTATTAGTACTGGATTTTTACAACCAAATTCACTGTAAAACGCCGGCTGTATAAAGTAAAGAGTGTATAGTTTCTTTAAAGTACACCCCTGTATCATTTAGAGGGATCTACTGGCAGTAATGGAATAAAATATTAATAAGTATATCTTCGTGTCAGCCACCGTAGTTGACGCGACTAACACACGGGAGAAGTTTTAGTTGATTGCAGTCTACAACTTTAGAAACCCAACCATGTATCGATCCTATAATGTTTTTGTCACAATTTTTCCTGAGAAACCAGGTTTTGTTCGTCACTTTGACATAAATACTACAACACCCATGATCCTCGGCCACCGTTGGAAAGAAACCAGAGTCAGAGTCGTGAATCAGAGCTGTAGTGCTCTTTCGTTGCAGTTGTGAACAAATCGAGACGCCAGAGTTGATGAATTCTGTTTAACTGGTTTAAGCGAAATAGCTCCAGCCTGTTGCAGCTCTATTAGCCCAGATTCTGACCAGTTGCTGTGGCAACCAGTGGAGAAATAAAAATCGTCCGGCACATAATCCCCCGTAATCCGGCAAACTGACGTATTAACGCTCAGATTTTGTACGGATCAATGAGAGAGTGTTAGTTCGTGATATTTAGAGGTGGTGTTAGGTTTGTGACCTTTGGACAGAGACAGGCTAGCTGTTTCCCCCTGTTTCCATTCTTTGTGCTAAGCTAAGCTAACCCGCCGCTGGTTTAAGATTTGTATTCATGAGATATGAGAGTGGTGTCCATCTTCTCATCAGACAGTGATTGTCCCAGAATGTCAAACTTTTACTTTATTCAAAGACAAATCATTTTGTCACTGATATCAGTGTGTTTGTGACTGCTCAGTTGCACATTATCTTGCATTTCATCCTGATATTTCATGTCTTTTGTCACACGTAAACACGACAGTGTATCCAGCCGGACAAGAATCACGTGCATTCAGATGATGATGTAAACAAACTCACGGTCTAATCAGATTATATGATTCTAACTGAATGTAAAGGTTATTATAAAGGTTTTCCTTGTAGAGTTAAAGTGTGACAACCTGCTGGTTCCAGAATTATTTTGTATTCTACGCTATTTAACCTTCTACGAGTTAAACGAGTTCAAAATAAAAGGATATTTACACCGGGTTAGAACTCTGATAGTGTATTTTCATTGCACTGTTTCTATAATTGTATTTTGGTGAACATGACATCTAATGACTTTGCAGTGGAGGTCTTTGTGTATTCACACTTAAGAAATTATCCCTAATTTAATAAAAAAAATCTCCTCTTCTTCCTGTCTGCAGTCATGACGAATACCAGAAGACAGCTGATTGGCTGAGGTCTCAGACTAGGCACCGCCCCCAGGTGGCGATCATCTGCGGGACCGGACTGGGCATGCTCGCTGACGCGCTCAAGTGTCAGGACTCCTTCGCTTATTCTGACATACCAGGCTTCCCACTGAGCACAGGTACTCTGAATATACACTATTTTAATACTGTCAATATTAAATGATATTTGATGAGTAACTTCTTTACTGACTGACAACTGTAAACAGTGCAAAGCTGTTCCCCACATATTTATTCACATATCTCTTACATTTACTGATAAAAACAACAGTCTGTAAATTAAGATATTTTCATTTTATGTATTGATTAACAGTCAGTGTTTTAGTATTTAACTTCTACTTTCTATACAACCGTTGAATTCCTCTAAAGGACCTAAGGAGTCCACATTTATAATCAATGCCCTCTGTTTTGTGAGATATAAGATTAAAATTGATGTTAAATCGTCAATTGTTCGTCTGTGTTGAATTCACAAACTGTTTGTGTTTTTAGTCCACAAAGCTGAGCAGACTGCGGATCAAAGAACTGATCGAAAAGAGCCGACAAAGATCGTTGCTCAATCAGACAAATATTCACCAACCTCCTCAAACTGAACAGCAAACAAGGAGGAAATTGATTTCTGATTATAAAATGAGTTTGGGGTGACCGATACAAGGAATCTGGCTCAATCCGTGTAATGTCGGCCCAGCACGAATGCTAAAATCAAAAAATATAACTGCACATGCAAAAAAAAGAAAGAAAAACCAAGATTGTCTGCTTAGCCTAGCTTAGCACAAAGACTGGAAGTTGGGGGAAATCGCTAGCATAGCTCCACCAAACAGGAAAATAAAATACTCTGAGGTTTACATGTCGATTGTTGTGTGTCAATTAGCATCACTATGTCTCTCACCTTAATCCTGACTCCGTGCGTGTGTGTGTGTGTGTGTGTGTGTGTGTGTGTGTGTGTGTGT